GTTGGGTGCCGTGTTCAATGCGAACCGGATGCTGGGTAGCTTACTTGGCCAGTCTTCATGGGGGCTGGTCCCTATCTGGGCAGCGAGCTGCACCTTCAAATCGCGATTCTTCCTCTCCACCGGGTTTGCAGAGGGATGGTACACCGGAGTGAAGGAAGTCTTAATGCCCAGACAGAAGGTGAGTTGCTGCATTACGCTGCTTATAAATTGAGTACCGTTGTCGGAGATCAATTGTCGTGGTACTCCATATCGTAAGATAATGTCATCCACCAGGCGTGTGGCGCATTCTTCAGCGGTAGCTGTCTGGAGTGGAAACAATTCTACCCACCGGGTGGCCGTGTCTTCAACTACGAAAATCCAACGCTGCCCAGTTGCCGATATTGGTAGTGGACCGAACAAGTCGATGGAAAAAGATTCGAATCTTTGTCGCAGTGTTGGGGTTTGCAGCAGACCGGCGGGTTTGAGATTTGAGACCTTGTATCGCTGGCACGTGATGCATTTCCTGACGTATTCATGTACATCCTTGTACATGCCAGGCCAATAGTATCGTTGAGACACCCTCTGATAGGTGGCGTTGATCCCACCGTGGCCGGCGCTTGCTGCGTTGTGGTGTTTCTCCAAAACTTGTATTCGCTCGTGGAGTGGGACGACCAACTGGGGTTCTTCAGAGTCACTATCTGGGTTGTAACGATACAGCACTCCGGAGGAGGTGAGGTACCCTCTGTCCGTCCATGAGCGGGTGGCGTCGTGCTCCGTGGACGAAAAGCAGTCGAGAATCTTCTTGACTTCTGGGTCACGAAGCTGCTCGTCGCGGAGTTCGGTTGGGCCGCGACGTGGTAATTCGACATGCACAGAACAAATGTTCGAAGGGATGTCTTCTGGGGGCTTCTCCGGCAGGCGGGACAAGGTATCTGCGAGTACATTTCCTCGACCAGGGGTGTACTCTATCTTAATGTTGTATGGTTGCAGTTGTAACGCCCATCGGGCTAATCTCCCTGTAGGCGACTTCAGATTCATTAACCATCGAAGTGGTTGGCAATCGGTAATGATTGTGGTCGTGGATTCTTCCAGGTAGCCTCGGAATTTGTTGACGGCCCAGACAATCGCTAGAGCTTCCCGTTCGGTAGCCGAGTAATTTCTTTCGGCGCTGCTGAGTAGTCGACTGGCGTACTCGACTGGGTGCTCATCGGATCCCTCCCCCTGGAGGAGAGCTACACCGAGGGCGTGGTCGCTGGCATCTGTGCGGAGGATGTATGGTTGACCACGTTCCGCGGGGCGTAAAATAGGTGGACCACTAAGGGCATCTTTCAGGGTGAGGAAGGCGTTTTGCTGTGTGGGCGTCCACGTCCAGGGCGCATTCTTTTTTGTGAGCTGGGTCAGGGGCTGTGATATTTTTGCGAAGTTCGGCACAAACCTCCGGAACCAGGAGCACGTCTGCAGGAACGTCAACAATTCTTTCACGTTGCGTGGAGGCGGGATCTTCTGGATGGCCTCCACCTTCCGTCCGTCGGGTTCCAGGCCACGTGCTGAGACGATGTGGCCTAGGTAGTGTACTTCGGATCTTCCGAAATGGCACTTCTTACGGTTCATCCGAAGGTGGAATAACTTCATCCGTTCAAATATCTGCCCAAGATCTTGGATGTGCTGCTCATCGGATTCGGATAGCACGATGAGATCGTCTAAGTAGGCCAGAAGTGAAACTTCTGGGAGGCCGGCCCTGAACCGGTCGATTAATCGTTGAAACGTGGCCGGGGCGTTGCGTAGCCCAAACGGCATTGTCCTGAACCGGTATAAACCGAACGGGCTTATAAAACAAGTCTTGTCTCGATCTTCGACCCTTACTGGCACTTGCCAGTACCCTGATTGTAAGTCAATTGTGGAGATGAACTTGGGACGCTGCGTGGAGTGTAGGAGGTCATCGATGCGTGGCAGTGGGTACACGTCTGGCGTGGTGATGGCGTTTAGACGACGGTAGTCAACACAGATACGGTATCGTCCATCTGGCTTGGGGACCATGACCACGGGGGCAGCCCAGGCGCTCTCGCATTCTTCGATGACCTGCGCTTCAAGCATAGAGGCGACTTCTTTCTCCAAAGCTTCCTTCTTAGCAGGGGGCAAGCGGTACGGAGGCATGGAGATGGGGGAGTGATCTCCCGTGTCGATCCGGTGTTCGATTTGTGTTGTCGGTGGACCGGCGGGGGCAAATCGATCATCGTGCTTCCGGAGTAATCCCTCGAGTCGTCTACGGGCAGGTTCGGTAAAGTGGGTGGCTTCGTCGGCTCTTAGCACGTTTATTGAAGCGATGTCGACGCGTCTCGGAGATTTATTGAAGAGACAGAGGCTTTCCCAGACGTCAAATTCGCCAAACGCCTGCTGGGCGAGAGCGTCCTCGGCGTCTCGCATCATATACTCGGCTCCCCCTGGAGCTTGGTAGACTTTCCAGTGGCCTCGTTGTATGGGGACCGTCGGAGGCGGTCCATAGGCGATGGGTTCTTCGGGGGTGAGAGCCGGTGCGTGTGCTTCCTCTACTTCCATTGGAGCGTACGAGTCGTCGACAGGTGTTTGCACTCTTGGCGCGTGGACCACCGCATCAAGTGCGGAAGTATGTTCACGTCGTCCTGGGATTTGGGGATGACGAATGTCATGGCGTGACGCCGTTGGAGTGGTGACCCGCGCGCAGTCGGGGCTTCGATGCATGTCCTTTTGAACGAACTGGAAGCTTTCTTCCGGTTTCTCGAAAAAATGCCATTGGCGGGCGGCGAAGTGGATCACCATGGCTGCATCCTCTATAAAATCAATGCCCAGAAGTGTTCGCGCGTCTGGAGCATTAGGCAAACACACGAACTGAGTTGAGACAGTTTTGTTTTGCAGCTCGATGTTTACTTCGGTCGTTAGGACCTCCTGTTGCTGCGGATGACCGTCGGCCAGCACTATGGTTAGCGGAACCTTGGTAAAAGTTGCACCGGAAGCGCGGAGATGATCGCTGAGTCCTGGACTGGCGACGCTGACTCGAGACCCGGAGTCAAGGAATGCTGTTCCCCACATTCCTTTTGCGCAAATGGCCACTGCAGGGCGTGGCCGTGGCGTGGGTGGTTCCACCAGGTTTAAACTGCAGAATCCTACTGGGCGGTCAGCACTGGTACTTGGATTGCAGGTAGGGCAATTTCGTCGCATGAACCCTGGCCTTTGGCAGCCATAGCATCTGAGTGTCGATGAAGTGTTGGCTGCAGGAGTCGTCGTATTGGCAGGCGTAACCTGGGGTGGACAGCTTCTTTTCTTCTTTCGACATTCGGCCATGCTGTGTCCAACGGCACGGCAGAATTCGCAGCGCAATTTCTTTGGTCCATTAGGTGGTGCAGGGGTGGCATGGGTTTTTTCAGCCAGGTCCTCCTCGACCTTGCGGGCACCGATCAAAAGTTCTTCGAACGTAGTGATACTGCTGCGGGAGATTTTCTCACGGATTTCGGCGCGTAGTAGGCCAAACACCATGTCCAACTGTACAGCTTCTTCGAGGGGCTGCTCGATTTGTGAGAGCAGACTCCGTTTCCTAGTGATAAAAAGGTCTGTGGACACATTTGCGACCTGCTTCTCTTCAAAGATCTCCAAGTAGATCTTATAGGCGGCTTTCCGTGGAGCGAAAGCCTCCTGAAGTCGTTTCATGGCTTCATCCCATGATTTAATTTGTAGTTTGACACCTTTCCACCAGGTGTGGGCCGTTCCCGTGAGTAGGAGGGGCAGACCTTCCAAAGCGTCTTCGTTGCTGATCCCCTCTACTGTGCGAAATATGGTGGCTGAGGTGACAAATTCTTCCACTTTGTCCCTGTTGCGACTTCCGTCGTAGCGTGCGGGACACGCGGTGATGCTACGTCGGTGATTTGTTGGTGCTACGTTTAGCACGGGTGCTGCTGCTGTCGGTAATCTGGCCATAAATGCCTCAAATTGTTCTGGTGAGAATTGGACGGCCATGGTGTGTCGAGGACTTCTTCTTAACCCTTTCTTACCTACGTGTGATGATAATGGGCGCATTCGCGGTTACTCGTTAACTGATAAAACACTTCGCGAACGATTCTAATGTGCACAACTTAATTCGAGCCTCACGTTCGGGACGCCACTGTAGCTGGTTCAGTGAGCCGAAACTCTTTTATTGATAACAATATATATATACACAATATCTCAGGGGTTATTAACAAGTTATTGTACACAGAATAATCCGTAAACACAAAAGTCGTTGCACATGAAAATAGTCCTTAAACACAAGAAAAGTCCTTAAACGCGAAAATAGTCCTTGAGCACGAAAACACGAAAGTAGTCTTTGAACACGAAAACACGAAAGTAGTCTTTGAACACAAAAGTCTTTGCACACCGACACTAAACAAACGCGACTCGTCGACCCGGTGGGACCCCTCTGGATGCGCCACTGGATGTTTGACTAACGCGATTCGTAGACCCGGTGGGACCCCTCTGGATGCGCCACTGGATGCTTAACCCGTCCAAGAAGCTGTTCACTCCCGACCACCAAGACCCCTAGGATGCAAGGCGATGCTGAGATGAACAAAATGCTATCGAGCTTTAGAATACTCTAGCATGTACTTCTTGTTGATTTCAGATGATTTCAAGAGCTTCTTTATAGGGTAGACGGGCGGAAGTGGTGCGAGGGTGTTAGCCGATAGCGCTGCCTTGGGGTGAATTCAGGTAGTGCCTGAGGGTAAATGGTACTGCCTGGGGGGATGCCTGATGCGTGGGTGCGCTAGAGGGCGTTATGAGTATTGTTCGTGTCGCCGGGATGAAAACAGGCAACTAGCGGGGTGCGCAATGCAGGGATGCGCGAGAGGGCGCAAGAGTTATCATTCGTGTTGTCGGGTGAAAACAGACAGCTGGCTGGGGTGCCAGATGTGTGGGCGTGCCAAAAGGAGCAGTTGAACCGAACTTTGTTACATTATAAGTTAAATTTGCTGTTTTTTTACTATCCTAATTAAAACGCACGCTTGCTAAAATATTAATTTTTTTCAACATCATTTCAGATGCCACGTTCCAGCTCTCCCACAAAAAATGAACACCTGTCAACTGTAAACAGGAGAGCGTGTTTTAGTAGTAATTAGTACACAGAAGAAAAAAAAAGATTAACTAGAATAACAAGATACATAGACCGAGAACTATTTCAAGGGAATATATACGCAAATGTTATTGTTGACGACATTTTCTGTTACAATTAAAAATACATCATAAAATCTTAATTTTGTTTTGGAGGACAGCGGAAATGCAAAATGATATCTTACTTGAATGAAACAAGACGTTCAGTTGACGTCTAAAAGAAAAGATTGCTTTGCAGCTCGGGATCACAGTTAAAATTTGTGTTATGATATATATTATTAAGTACAGTGGCGGCTTGTGACCTTTTGAAATCGGGGGACACAATTTGATTGATGAGTTAAATATGTAGATATAAAACTGACTGTTATTACCAATTATTAGACGAAATTGTGTGACGGAAATAAATACCAAAATACATTGAATAAAAGTAAAAACGTACTTGTCCACATACCTTTGCTTTTAAATCATTACTGAGGAGACACACAAACAAAACAATTTATTATTTTTTTCACAACCGCACATCCACTAAAATTTACCATACTTGTTACCTCTATTAAGACATCTACTTATGAAAGGATCTCGTTTGGTTATGAACACTTTTTTTTATTAATAAATTGGAGGGTGGCTCTCTCTAAATTTTTCATTAAAATTTTACCGTCGTAAGACAGAGGACGATTTTTTATTAAATATTCAACTGAATTCATTATTTTTATTTAAAATCAAACAATTTCACTCGTGCAAAATGAAAATGAAATCCAGTAATTGAGTTACTACTAGCGGTCACTGTTATAACAGGACCCGATTCCAGGCAAATACAGCGACTAGACGCACGATTTCCATGGCAACGGTATAAACAAAACGTCTAAATGACTCATGATTTGGTATCTGCTTTTATCAGTACTTCACCAGCAACATATCATATATTCAAAACACATCTTCAGACGTAAGTTTTGATATATTTTATACAAATGGAGCGAGATAAAAAAATTAGTTTTGATCATTATGACACAAATTTCCATATTATTTTTTGTAATTTTGGACTCTGATTAAGTAGGTACGCATGTATTTCAAACTTGTAAAGGTATATAACATCTTGCGTTGTTTTTAAACCTTGAGGACTGCTGTTTCCTTGGAACATTCATATTTTCTGAACCCAAGGATTTCCGTACTCATTGTGTTTACTATTAAAGCGACGGTATTCAATATAGTAATTTACGACTTGTAGTTGATTGTGACGTACGTCCTGTCGTTGGGACCAATGATTTAAAATTATTATTACGTAAGATTCAAAGATATTTTCTTATTATAACCATTATAACCGTGAGATTTACTAAACAGCGAATAGCATCCAGCATGACCAGAAATATTTATTACTAATAATATTTTGGTATATGAGTGTTATTCACCTAAAAGGCGATGGTTGACTTTCAAAAAGGCTTGTAGATACAAGTTTAAAAATAGTTCGTAAAATTTAAAGCTTAATCAAAATTTCTTGTATAACTTTAAGGATTTGTTAATTTAAAAGAAAACAGATCGAAGGCCTCTAATCCTGTTTAACGTAGTGGATATTTGTATAATAATGTCGATAAACAGGGTATTTACTAAACATGTGGCAAAAATTCAGAGTTTTATTCCTTGGATTAATTTTTGTTCTACGTATCGTTCAATTATTTTGAAGAAGTAGAATAAATTTTATACCGCACTTTACAATTTTCACAGAGTATTAAATTAGTTGGAATTTATTTGTTCAGTAAATACTAATAGTTTAGTGCTAGCAAACATTTTTTGATTTAGACTTCTCTAACGTAAGCTAAGAAAGTACTGTAGTTAATAGGGACTGCATGGTTACTCTCATATTTTCTCGACGTTTCATGACTCGTAGAGTATAAAAAATAGGTTTCTCGTTTTCATCTGTCTCTCTGCCTATGCTGTCTTTTCTCTATGTAGACTTTTATTTGGCAGATAATCTTCGAAACTAGCGGACTGATTGTTGTTACATATGCTAATCAAAATTTGTCTACTTATCCCGATCCACACTGTAATGACGTGACCTTAGAATTTTGCTTAGAAAACGCCATTTCTATTTTATAAAATAAAATACTTGCACTATAAACATTCCTTGATTCTTATAATTTTTATTGTTAAACCTTCTTTGCCTTTAGTTACATAACACGTAGGTCCGTGGTTCAATCCCCGAGGGCGTTTTCAGTTTTTTACTTCCCGAGTGTAAGCGAAGGAGGTATTGTAATAGGGTTCACCGGGCAACTCTGGCTACGTTCATGTTTTCTCGACGTTTCATGACCCCTATAATATGAAAAAAGTGGTCTCCCCTTGCCGTCCGTTTGTCTGTCGTCTGTGTCAAATTTTACTAGACGGATAATCTCCAATCTCCTTATGTGTATGTTAGGAAAATCCTTACCAAGCTGCAGTATTTTCTCAAAATTATTTCTTATAAAAAACATTTAAGAATATTTGCTTTAACATTTTATTAAAAATCAATAAATAAACTTAAATTCGTATTACGAAAACATTTACTTGCCGCCTAACACAAAAATAAGAGTATTACCTTGTTTCCTAAAATTAATATTAAAAGGAGCTTCGTATGCAAATTCAGCATTTTTGCCATCAACGGCATACTTCATGTTAACATGAAAAGTGGCGGTAGTGCCATCATTAAATATCAAATCCATGGTGAAAGGCGCTCTGGAGGCAAAAGTATTCACCTCTAACTGACGTTCAATAGCACGTTTAGCAGGAATAGAGAGATCTTTAAACTTTTCCTGTGGGCCACTTCCTGATTCGAAATCAAAAGGATCCACATCTCTTACTACGACATAATCAACAGGTGAATGTCTCAGATTCTGAATAATAATGTATGTTGCACTTGTAAGTTTCAGTGAAGTGAAACTCGATATATCCAGGGAGGTAGTTAGGGCGAAGATTGTGGCGGTGAAGACAAGAGTTGATAACGGACAAAGTTTCATCATCTAATAAAAAATAAATAATTAAATAAATTGTGCAATCTTCAATGAAGGACGAAGTATAATAATTATTTGCGGCAAAGTTAACCTTTAGCATCTGAAGTATAATGAAAATACCTATTAAAAAACTTACTGTGTTTGACGGATGGAACAAATACAAACTGGTCGCCGGCTTTTAATAGACTAAAGATTATTGTTACAAAAAAGAGGAAGGATTTTAATGAGTGGGAGACATAACTGGTTGGTGTCGCTTTTATTTGAGTTGAGAGTTTACAGATGTTTTATTTTGTTTTGTGTTTCTAAGTAGCTAACTAACTAGTATTACTTACTTCCTCGAGAGAAAAGTGGGAAAACACACGTCCGTGTTGCGTAGAAACCCATCGAAGGTTCGTGTTTTGCGAATCAAGGAAATTTTTTGTCAAAAATCAATTTCTGTTGTTCCTCCTTGTTAAATTTTCGTCCTAAATTATGACAACTAACATACTAAATACTAAAATAAAATTTGTTTTATGTTAAATACCACCCTACACTATAACACTAAAATAGTTTGCAAAATAAAAACTGGTTTACCGAGATTTATTTTTAGTCTGAGAAATTTCTCAAGGTTTTATTTCATTGTTCACCGTACTAAATTTTGCAAAATACAGCTAACAATTTTAATTTAACATACAAGTCGTCATTTAAAAATGGTAATTTTTTTGAGAACTGCATTTTAAAAATAAAATATATAAAACAAAATTAATATTGATTTGTTAATAAGAATTATGTTTCATGATTTATTATTTGTGTTTCGAATAAACGATTTCCAACAATTTTTGTGGTTGGGGAAAGCTATGTGATGCAAATAGCGACCAAGAGATTAATGGACATCTGAATTCGACAGTTCAAATAGACAAAATAAAAAATTGGTCGAAAGTTGTTTCGATAGGACTTCACTCGCTCCTGCATTTTCTAATGGGCGCACCCTCAGAGGCGTCCGTCAACGTTTCTCTGTCATAGTGAATTTTCTACGTGTGATGGGTACCTATACCTGGTTAGTGCCTAGTAGATTCATTCGCATTCGCGCTAGCGTGTTGAGCAGTTCACTTAAGTTTATGTTTCCGCGTATTATTGTTTGTGATTTAAAAAAATTAATTTAAAAACCACCCCCATCTGAAGTGTGCATGTTAAGCTACTGAGTAACAGTCCGTTGTCAGATTCTGATGACTCACCATGTTGAACTTAAAATAATCCATCTCTAAGAACCCTTGTTCTTTAACACTAGTTGAAATGTCTATTTATGTTTATACATCGAAAGAATGTCACGTAGAAATGAGTCAACCTGTATAAGCAAATCTAAAAAGTATTAATGCAGTGATAAATCACAAGTATTGACTCATCATACTTTGCACATTTAAGATTGGATTTATTCAGCAAAATTTTGAGGTGATTTTTTAGGGGGGATGAGCAAATACATTTTGATAAAAATTTAAAACATCTCCAAGATTTCAAAGCATTTGGTTTTGCAGTTCCTGATTAAATCAATAAAATAAATTTACGCATTCATTATTTTTTTTGAGTCACCCAGCTCCAAAAAAAAAAAAATGAATGGACTGGTAGATTACAAGTACAGACTCATAATATTTTCTACAATTTAGATAAGATTTATATTCCTTATATAAATATAGTATGTGAAACAATCGGTCCATTACTTTCAGAGATTATCTGTCTAATAAAAATTCGGACTGCAGACAGCCGGACAGGCGGAGGGACAGACGGACAAAACAATAGAGAAACAGAACCGGGAGACCTATTTTTTCGTACTCTAGAGGTCATGAAAACTCGAGACAGAGAGTCGCTCGACGGACTCGACTACAGCACTGTATGTTAACAAAATTCCCGATCACGTTAACAATAAATTGTATTAAAATGTGTGAATATTCGTTTAATGTTCCATCAAATAACAGTGTTAATAACAACACTTTAGATAAAATACCTATGTTGATAATACCAAAACTACTATTAACAAAATATTAGTACATGAAGAAAATTACGTATAACAGAGCAATTGATAAATTTAAAGTAATAGTTCTTGTGTGTTCGTAAAATCAGACTACGTAACTTTCGTATATTACCTGTATAGAAAAGTAATAGCACTGACTAGTGTTTTCTAAGTCTCTGTTGCTACAGATAAATAGAGAAGTAAACATAAAAATATGTTTAAGATAATCATTCCCCTTTCTTTATCATAAAACTAATATTGATTATCATATAAACTAGCCTCTAAAATTTTTTCCAACTAGTCAACTAGATTCCTAAGCTGAAATCTCATCCAATTTCTCGCAATGGGTAATCATCATTCAGCACCGCAACATACCTATTCCTACCTACAAATAATCAACAACAGTTTCACTGACGTCACCAAAACTTCCGTGTTCGGTGTGTCTGATTTCCATTGGGCCGGAAATTGCCGCCCTGACCGCACGTTCCAAGACGTCGCGATTCCCGCCAAAACTTCCGCTGAAAGAAGATTCGCACTGAAAAACCAAGCACCTGAGTGCCCATTTACCATGACCTTGACTTTCCGAAACGGAAAAATTGACACTTTCTACATCAACCAAAAGTATACTGTTGGTGGCTGTGCAAATTTTAAGCACTCGACGCAAACGCACGATCTGTTTTATAAGCGTGTTAACTGCAAGCTAGTGATTACGATCGAGAATACCCAGAATCAGATAGTAAATCAAAGAGCAAATGAAAGAAATCAGCAAGGAGAGACTGCTCTGAGGCAAAAGAAGTATGACGAAGCGATACAATTTTTTGATAAAGCCTTAGGACTGGCGAAGGAAGATTCGACAATCAGTGCTGTCAAGAAGAACAAGGGTAATGCTTGCAATCAACTTGGGAAGGAGGTTTTGCAAAATGCGTTTGATTTGGAAAAAGAAGAAAGTGAAGACAAATCAGAAGAGGCTCAAAGTAAATTTAATCAAGCGAAAAGTTTGTTTCAACAAGCAATTACTTTACACAATTCGTCTGATTATCAAACAAATTTGAATGTTGTTAATTTGAAGATTGATGGAAATCGTCTGTTTAATGAAGGAAACCAGATAGATAAGGAAGCATATAAATTATTCGATGAAGATAAGGGTGATAACCGGAGAGCGCAAGACAAATACGAGGAGGCTTTAATTAAGTATGAAGGAGCTATAACGAAGTTTGAAGAGGGGGCGAAAATTGATAGTAGATTCAATGACAGTAAGACAGTTGTTAAAGAGTTGGCTCGAGAAGTGGAAAAAGTGATTGGAAATATAGATCAAGTTGAATTAAATCGCATTATTGGGAAAGTGAATCTTGATGAAGACCGACATACGAAAAATGAACAGGAAGAAGTCCTAACAACAAATTTGCACCAAAATGTTGAAATTGCAACTAATTAACAGTTCAACTTGTTAACAAAACTAGTAAAAATAAAATGTAGTTTAAATCTTATGGTTTTTTAATACAATTATTGTAATGCAACGAAAAAATAAGGAGTATATTGTTAAGAAAAAATCATCGTGCGTAATAGTGGTATCATATACTTAGCAGTACTTAGTTTTTGTGTAAAATATAGTTTTTGACGAAACGGATACGTAAGTAAGAAACTATCGATAGCACTGATAGTAGTAAAAATTAATATAAGTCTGACGTCGGATTAACAAAATATATATAAAAGGCTGATATTAATATTACTAGTAGCAACTATTTAACACTTGATAACGCTTGAAGAGCCTATTTCCTTCAAGTTTCAAATTAATAAGATTCGGATAGTTTTGATATTCAGAAGAATTGTGTGAAGTCCGCGGTTGTTGAAACAAACTTCTACTTTTGTCAAATTTAGTTCGCGCTTCTAGGATTTATCTTGAGTATCGTCGGCTTCTACATCCCACGATTTTTGCAAAGATTTCTGTCCACACTCATTGCAAGCCCTACTTTTATTGTAAAGAATATTAAGCAAGTATTTATGGTTGAATCTTGATTCGTAAGACGTGCAGCTTAGTCAAACTTTTTCATCGCTTCTTCATATCTCTTCTGGTTTATCGCTGTTCTTTTCTATTTCTTTCTTCAGCTGTATCGTTTTATAATTACGTTTGAACTTGTTCGGCGTTGTGAAATTGCACAACGAGAATTTTACCTCTGTCGCGCCACAACCATGTATCTTGTGAAATGTGATATTGAAAGAACAATTACTTGCATAGTAGTTGTCTTCTAGTCTTCTCTTGATCGTTCTTCCGACTGGTGATAGACTTAAATCTTACAGATTATGGCCAGGACGAGAATTTCCGTCCCAGTCGTAATTGGTGGCTCCGTAAACACAAGAATTGACGATTTCTTGACGGGTATTATTGATTGTGCGGATCTGGGTTTCTTATTTTGATATTTTTGTTAAAGACAAGAGTATGAAATATCAAGGAATGTGATTATGATGTGCTTAGTTTACGTCGATAGAATCACACATAGTGGGATGCCACAACCAAACTCGTACTGAGTACGTCGGTTTTTATCAACGTAATGTTTTTTGTGGTTCCATTTACAACACTAGGAAAGAAGTAGTAATTACATACCAAGGAAAAGAAGATACTTTTCTGACCCGAGCTGAATTATTTCCGGAGGTTCGAAGGATGGAAGAAAATTAGAAAGCGAGGGCCCGAAAAGTCTTCTCTTCCGTACTTTAAATATTTAACTTTTTCCCTACTAGCACATTTGTTTAATTCCAACTGCAGAGTTCTACATTGTATGTATAAAAGGTCACAGCTTAAATGTCAAGTTAATACATGAAGTCACTGCGGCAGTGTAGATTAACCATGCCAACATTACCAATTGTTTTCATTATTTTTCTAGTAGGAGAGAAATAGTATGTTATAGGTCGTCATTACCGTGGCGTATAGGGGATGTTTTTTTTAAGCTGAAACTTTTAAACATCCCGAAAAATAAGCATTGTGTGAAAAAATGTCCAGAACCAAACTTTAATCATGCCGTGAGGGAAATATATTAGTGCTAAAATTAGCCCCCCTCCCCCTCTCCTTGTAGGTGGGACAGGGGTTAACTAGGAAACCTTAAATAGGAACTGTTATTTTTTATTGCAGACTCGGAGTCTACGGCTAAAAGTACGTATGATTTGTTTGAAACATTTTTTTCGATTCGTGATAGATGACGCTGAATCGAAGAAATTCAAAT